CCCCCATCTTGGAGCACCAGCGTACCGTGAAGGAGGCTCACCGATCTTACCTAGCGGATCAGCTCTACAGCAGATTTTCGATAAGAACATATATATATATATATATTTAAAATTTTATTGATCTTTTTTAATATATGGTTGTCAATTTTCGTAAAAAATTCTTATATTTTTTTGACAAATATAAATATAAATTTTTCGACAGATTTATATCTGTCAAAAGTTACCGATGGATATATTCGTCAGAAATATAAATTTTCTGACAGATTTGTATCCGTCGAAAATTACTAACGGATATATCCGTTGAAAATATAATTTTTTTACAGATTTGTATCCGTTGAAAATTATTCGTCAGTAATATAACTTTTCTTACAAATATTTTTTAGTCGAAAATATAAATTTTTTTTGACAGATATGTATCCATTAAAAATTATCTGTCGGTAATTTGCATTTTTCTTATAGTGCGAATCAAGAAGTGATCAATTATACACAATCTTTTCCTCTAAAAACTTGTAATCTTTATTATTATCAAACATTTCTTTCACTAATATAATAATATAGTTTTCTTCCGTCAAAGTGGTACCATAACTTAAAGATCCTTGTTAAAGAAATTATAAATAGTAATATGGTTCCATTTCATTTCTCGACGTTTTATGATAATTGGAGCATCAAAATGAAGACTCTTCTTAACGCATAAGTACGGGGGATAGTAGAAAAACGTCACAATGAGCTAGAGAATTAAGGTAGTCTCTCTCAAACTCAAAGGATAGTTAAAGAGCCAAATATGAAAAGTTACATTTGGAACTTGGACAACTGCTTGAGAAAGGTTATGATACCCGCATAAAAAGACAATAATCTTTCAATACGAGATAACGCAAGTAACTTGATTACTAAGGTATTAATGTCAAGAAATAGAATGTGTGCTTAACATTAGATTGATGTCATAAAATGTTTCAAGATGTGTTACATAGATTATAAACTTATTTCTTTAGATTTGTTTATATGAAATTTTTTGAATAAAATCGAAATTTAAACAAAAAAAGTATTAAAAATAGTAAAATTTTATAAAAATAAATCTAAAAAGCAACCAAAAAATTTAATATATATATATATATATAATTTTATATTATTTTTTAATTTATACGTGATAATATATTTTCAAATAATTTTATTTTCATAATTTTCATATAGATAAATCTAATATTATGAGTTTCATGTCTTAAATTATTCAAGAATTAATTTAGTATCATATTGCAAAATCGAAAATTATTATTGTTTTAAAAATACCAAATTGATAATATCTTTTCACATAATTTTTACTTTCATAGTTTTCATATAGATAAATCTAATATTATGAGTTTTATGTCTTAAATCATTCAATAATTAATTTAGTATCATATTGCAAAATCGAGAATTATTATTGTTTTAAAAGTACCAAATTAATTCAAAATATAAAATTATAAATAATCAAAATAAATATTTTAACGAATAAATGACCAAAATAAATCTAGAAAAATAAGATAAATAACAAAAATATAATTTAGTCAATATATACATATATATATATATATATACATCGGTTATAATAATACCAATGTAACTTTT